AAATTATTCGGGAGTGAAGTGTATGTCAAAAAATTGGGAAATCTAAAAAAATTGGGTAGTAAAAGTGAAAAATATTCACTTATCGGATACAGTGGAAATGGATACAGATTGTGGGACATGCAGAAAAGAAGGATTATAATTGCAAGAGATGTGGTGTTTACAGGAAAACTAACAAATGAAATGACCAGTGTCATTCAGCCAAGATACAGAGAAGATCTGGATTCTGAAATAGAGGAAAGTCAAGACACTAAAATGGAATTGGATACCCATGATAAACCACAGAACTCGACCAATTCAAAATATATGTTAAGGATTAGAGAAAATATCAATAGACCTGAAAGACTAAAAGATTATGAAGTGTTGAATTCTGTTTCTGGAGAAATAGGATTGTTAACATACAATGAAGCTGTAACCGGAGTAGACAAAGAAAACTGGGTAAAAGCAATACAGGAAGAAAAAGATTCATTGAAGAAAAATGAAACTTGGGATTTTGTAAATGCTGAAAAAGTTAAAGGAAAGAAGATACTCAGTTCTAGATGGATATTCAAGATAAAGGATGGTGGACATTATAAAGCAAGACTTGTTGCTAGAGGAAATGAACAAGAAGAACTTACAAATGAAACCATACTTGCTAAACTAAATATTGACAACCAAAGTGCAATGACTTTAATGAAGACAGGACAAATGAACAGAAAGACAAAACATATAGATGTTCGATATCATTTTTTGAAAGATCAGATAAGAGAAAATGTTGCTGTTCAGTTTTGCCCAACCCAAGACCAAGTTGCTGATATCCTAACCAAGCCTCTGCCAGAGGAAACTTTTGAAAAACACAGATCTTCACTGCTACAGATGTTTTGATAGAGTAATTAAAACTCTAAAACATGAATTCAAGAAGGAGTGTTGAATATATGAATTCAATTTTAGACTTTAATATCTTATATAATATTGTCACTGAATAATTATTTTAAATATTCTGTGGTATATCATCATTAATATTTCCATAGTTATCACTCCTCACTATTCTTATATATTATTACTTGTAAATAAATGAAAAGATATAGTTTTGCATAAATAAACTATTTTCAATTACTAAAATCGTATGTATTAATTTCTAAAATAATATAAAACCCTAAAACCATTCTAACAGTATACACCAAGTGTTTACCAAATAAACAAATATTTATTGCCCAATATTGGAAGTTCTTGTCACATCTACTGGGAGGACTTGCAAATCTGAAACATACTTTGGTTTCAAGATTCAACACCATTCAAAATTAAAGTAGGTAATTTTAACTTATGCCCTCATCTATTTATCTATACATACAGTAAAACCCCGCTAATACGAACCCTGGATATAGCGAACCTTCTCTTATAACGAACCCACGGCGATTCCCAATTCCATTCCATTGAAAATACCATCGTTATAACAAACTTTGCGATTTTTAAAATAACGAACTACCCCTATAACGAACCTATTTTCGGTCCCAAAATGATAAAATCTATTTAAAATACTATGCTTATAACGAACTTAAAATTGTGATTTAAAAAAAAAAATTAAAACAACAAAATTTTGAGCATGTTTCAGCTCACGGATCACGATTTCAAAACAAAAAAATAACGGCATTGTTTTTTTTCATTTCCATTCTATTTTTGCTGTATGTTGTATAAATTTTTACACATTATACTTTTATTTAATAGAATATCTGTGCATTCGACAATTTTGAAATAGAAGAAAAATATAAATCGCTTCCAAAATAAAGAAAAGAAACAAAGAGTGGCGTTCTAAAAAAAAAACAGTGGCAGCATGCACTTTAGAAGCGTTCTATATCAAGTTTAACCTAGGCTAAAACATAATTACAAATAATTTTAAAGCCAGAAATGGTTTGAATAACAGGTTAAAAACAAAATTTAATATACGCTTCAGAAGAATATGTGGAAACTGGAATTGGAAGAAGAAGAAAAAAAAAAAAAAAAAAAAAAAGTTCCTCCGTGTCTCATGAGCCACAAACAAATCGACTTATAAATTCTCAAAAACTACCACTACAGTTCTATTTTTAGAATGGAATTCTTGTTAGGTATATGACTCATTCAGGGTTCGCGGATATTCCCCCTGGCCGGCCGTTTTACCACCGATTTTGGGTTTGCAAATTGGCGTTTTTTATTCGCAATTTTACCGATCGCGCTATCGTTTCAACATGTTTCGGGTCCGATTTTTTTTAATTGGATACTTTTGATTCATCTTCAATTGATTCAGAATACACGGGGCTTTATTCCTTTGATGGAAATAACGATATTTTAAGACAATTCTGATTTTCAAATTTCACTTTTCACTTTCAAACAACAAGGTATTATAGAGGCATTTTTTCAAATAAATATAGCATTATATTATTTGAGAAATATATTCTAAAATACTCTTATACCTTTTAAATATATAATTAATAATGTTTTGCCAAGGGGATTTGGGTCAATTTTTAAATAATACAGAGATTTATATAAAAACATATATGCTAATGATAAGAAGAACCTATTAACAAATGAATTCTTTTGATATTGAGCATTACTGTAAAGAAATAGGTCAATTTAGGGAATTAAAACAAAGTGATCATTATTAAATGTCTGCCTTTTCATGTTTGTATGGCTGTTTTTTAATTATACGGTCTAAAAATTTAGAAAAGTTTGAAAAAAATGGCCAAACCGTGGCTATTGTGAACCGTGGCTATAGTGAACCAAAAGCTCTGTCCCATTGGGGTTCACTATAGAGGGGTTTTACTGTATTTATATAAGAAAAATGCCAACTTCAAAAAGGACAAATAGCTTTGAAAACCAATTTTAAGTTGAGAATTCCTATATTATATACAGTAAAACCCTGCTAATATGAACTCAAGATATTGAATTAGAGTATGAAGGGAGGATGAACAGACTCACAAAACGTATCATTTTCCACTCCACCAATGAAAATACACTCAATATCAAGTAAACTATTTTATAATTTCCCTCTATTTTTACAGAGTCCATTGTTAGCAAATAATTAAAGAAATGTTGCTGTTTATTTTTGAGTAATATTTGTTAAATAATATTTAATAGAACAATTTCAACCTTAAAGGTCTTTGTATTTTAAAGAATTTTCTCTAAATAAGCATGAATGCAAGTTCTGTATTTACTGTAATTGCTATTTACACACATTTTAGGGCTAATACACCTGGTGTTCAATTGGTTAACTTTATTTGAAAGGGACAATGCTTGGAGAGTGATTTCAAACAAGGTACTAGAAACATTTTTTTTCAAGTAAATAAAGTATTATATAATAGCAATTCGCCTTGTTTTAATGGCAAAAGTCGTAAAATCTAGACCCTTTGCATTCGCTTTTTATAAATACTGGAAATCAGCTCAATCAAAATGTTTAGCACAGACACCGGATCCAACTCGATAATTGGTCGAGGTCAATACCCAATATTTGTATATAACTATGATGCTAATCTGTTATTTATTTATTTTGTCCTACCGGGAGAATCCTGTATGGCACGTGTGCCCAATAAAGGCTATTGTTGTTGTTGTTGTATTATATAATATGATAAAGATGTTCTGAAATGCTCTTGTATCTTTTAATATATAATTAATAAAGCTTTGCTTAGGACTTGTCTTAATTTTTAAATTATACATAGAGGTACAAGTATGCTAATGATAAGAACCTATTATCAAATGACTTCTTTTGAAATTCAGCATTAATGTAAGGAAATAGGTCAATTTAGGAAATTAAAACAAAGTGACCATTATTAAGTGGCTGCCTTTTCCTGTGTGTGCATGGCTATCCTTTAATTATATGGTCTAAACATTTTGAAAAGTAAAAAATAAATAAAATAGCCAAACTGTGACTATAGTGAACCAAAAACTCTGTTCCATTGGGTTCACTATAGGGGGTTTTACTGTACATAGTGTATTATAAATATACTAGACGAATGACCCGGGCAACGCTCGGGTTTACCTGATTAAATGATTTATTCAAACACTATTCGTTACAATTATAAATTTGGTGCCGTGGATGTCACTCTTGTGAAACGTCCCGCTCCAAACTTTACAGTCAGATTAGTTACGATATACACATGTGTAAATCTTCAAATCGAGTGAGCGTCTATAAATATTTCGATTTAGATCAAGTATTCTAATTATTAAGCGAAATATTATTAATAAAATTTTGAGAAGATATCGATTTTAAACGTATTTATAACCTTGATAGAGGGCGCTGTTCGTGAGCTAAGCAGAATAATTTGAATATATAGTTTTAATATTTAATTTATATATAATTTAAAATAGCCTATCGTTTTCCTCGTATTTTTTTTTACCTATGTATGGAAATTTTGGTACTGTAAAAAAAACTTTGCTTCAATAATATAAAAAAAAAAACACCCAGGCTAAGTTTTGAACCAAGGTTGTGGAAATACGAAGCCGCACACCTAACCATTAAGCTACGCTTGGCATCATAAATGTTCGCATGTAAAGCTATTTCAGGCCTTACATATTTCTAACGACCTTTTTGAAATAGATTTTTGAAACATGGAAATTATAATACTTCAAATAAATAGAAATAGAGTGAACACAAATAAAACATATCAAATATTTCGAATTTGAGCAGTTATTTTAAACGGCGAATTAGATCAGTTATATCTAAAAATGAAAATATATAAATAAATAAAACATACCAAATATTTCAAGAGCAGTTATTTTAAACGACGAATTAGATCAGTTATATCTAAAAATGAAAGTATATAAATAAATAAAACCTACCAAATATTTCAAATTAGAGCAGTTATTATATAAATATTTATATTATATGTGTAATTAAGCGAACTATTTCAGTTATTTTAAACGACGAATTAGATTAGTTATATCTAAAAATGAAAATATATAAATAAATAAAACCTACCAAATATTTCAAATTAGAGCAGTTATTATATAAATATTTATATTATATATATTAACTTTATGAATGGAAAAATATGTCCAGGGTAGCCTAGTGGTCATGGCATCTGCCCGGTAAGCGGAAGGTCGTGGGTTCGATAGTAACCAAATATGACCCTGCTTTATTAGGGTTCTGTCTCAACAATTATTTTAATTATATTATCATTTTTACTTTTTATTGGTAGTTATGAGAATAATAACTATTTATTATATTAAAATCACACACATCATTCTAATTATTTGTAATATGGCTAATTTGTAAAGGCTTTAAAGATCTTATATGCAACTACACCTATTTACATGTTGACTTTCTCAATGGTTGATTCAGTAGTAGCAAGGCGCCTTCTATTTTAAAAGGGTTAGTCAAGAAAGAATGACTGCGTAGTGTGTTGACCTGCAGATGAAACAAAGGAATCTGTACACATCTCACTGTTAGGAGATCTAATGGTACCCCATCTTGTTTCCCGCTGACTCCAAGATTCTGTCACAGTGTCCAAGCCAACTCTAAAATGATGACAGTCCTTATATTGACACCATGATAAAACTGCAGAACCAAATCTAATAAGAACCAGCAAGATATGGAGGATATCCTTGACAGGAACACAACAGTTGATCTGTTGTGAGTTGATAGAAATAATGAGTTTAATACATAGTGATTTATTTATTGAATATATACAAACAGTAATTGAAGTTGAGTAAGCATCATGATTCTAACTGAGAATATGATGATAAACAGCGTCCAATATATTCTGTTACAACAAGATCATTCATCACTAACAGTCACAGCTCCCATAGGGAAGGGGCTATGTAACAGAATATAGTTATTACTTTAATCGTAAATTATCAAATTTGATTTTTTTACCTAGCAATTTCCCTTGTGAAATCTTTTTAAAATGTGAATATGGGGTAATTGCTTTGATAAAAATAAACTGCCTTGTGCAATGTTATTTTTACCTCAGCAACTATTTTATTTTCACCTGGAAACATTGTTTGTTGTTGTAAAAACACTCCTCTATTGATGACCTTGAACTAGTCTTGCTCTTTAATAAACACAATATTATCTAAATCAATGTTTGTGTTTTTATAAACAATCAATACAAAAGATTCTGTCATCCTGAAATGTTGACATTTGTCTCTACATTCCACTATTAAACAAAAATTATATACTTAGAACAAAACTCTAATGGGCAGAATTTGATGCCTCACAACTATTAGATCAGTTTAAGAATTATAATAAGAGGGTGACAAAAAGTATTCAATTCTATATATAAAGCACACAAACCTAAATAAAGAATCATTAAGTCTCCAGATCCATATTGAAGAGTAATTGTAAGAGTGTCATAACTATATAACCAATCCACTCCACCAGTTCTTACCATTATGCCGACCTCTGGTTACAAGGAAGGTACTTACCAATATCTGGAAGCTAAAGTATAAAATGTAGCTAGCTATTCTAAATCTTCTATCTTGGGCTTTTCACTAGAACATACACACAGCATGGGTAGAATTCACAAAGACAGTAGACCCTAATTCATTCAACACCTACTAGAGTTAAACACCTATCCTCCCTTGGGGTGTGAAAGTAGAGATTGGACTGACATTAATTTATTGCTAACATGTCTCAGTGTATTTCAAGTGAGGCTTTTTCTATCCACAAAATTCCCCAGCAACAAGACAATCCATAATGCTGATCCAATACTCCATGAGTATTTGTACCTAGCTGCCCCGCACATCCTACCCACTTTTAAAAATGAATATCTTCCCCAATAACTGTGACTTTCTCTACCTCAAAAACCTTTTTAAAAGTCATCTTCTGTTAGGAAACCAATTCTTTCCCAGTCTACAAACGAGCAGAGTCAAACACCACACCTCTCAGAAAATTAACACCTTTAATTTCCTTTCATAACTAACTAATTTACATCATTAAAAACCAATTTATATACATGTAAAATCGTCCAGTCATCTGGTCAAAATATAAATAAACTAATCTAGGAAAAAACAACTTATAAAATCCTAACAATGCCCCCCCATTTTAAAGTTGTTTTCATACCCTCATCGGAGGCCTAGAGTGGTCAAGATCCTGGTTAGGTCTTCGTTTAACACCACCCGGCAAGTCAACATCCCATACTCTGTGTTCCCGAAGTGATGCCATTTCACATTCTATAGACCTCAGCCGATTTTGTGCTTTGGGCATATTAAGCGCCTCCTCGTATGATGACGGCATTTCATCTTGATGGCTCTTATGTTCAACTATCCCACGGTGGAAGGCTGATCTACAATACTCCTTCTGCCTAGCCGAAATTCTTGAAGATCTTCTTGGGATTATAGTTTCATTCTGGCCTTCGTCTTCTCTCCTCAGTGCTTCGTCTTCATAGGCCTGCTCTCCATCCTCTCTTCGTTCTAAGTTATTCAGATCTTTCTCTACCGATATTGTTTCCCCATCAGTCCCTGAATATCCTCTTGGGATCGCAGCTTCATTTTGGTATTCCCCTTCATCTTCCTTCTTTAGTTCTTCCACTGTATAGATTCTTCCTCTTCTATTAGATTTCAAAATTAACCCGCCATCACTTCCAAAAACAGAGGCCTTGCCATTCTGGAATAATACTTTGTTTCCTCTTTCCTCAATCCTTCCAACAGACAAAATATTTCCGTCTAACTCAGGAACGTATAAAACGTTTTCCAAGAACAAGGTTTCACCTCCATATTCGTGACCGAGCTTGATGGTTACATCACCCATCTCTGATACTTTTATTTTCTCATTGTTAGCCATTTCTACTGAAGTTGAAATACTTTTTGTGTTCGTCAATCTCAGCCTGTTCGACGTCATATGTTCAGTAGCTCCACTGTCCAGAAACCAGATATTCCGCGAATTATTGTCTTCAAAGCCGTTCGCAAATAGGACCTTATGAGTCAGGTCTAGCGTACCTTGTTTCAGCATACCCTCGCTAATTCTCCTTGAGGAGTTGGCAAATCTGCAATTCCTAGCTATGTGCCCTAATCTGCCACAACTGAAACACCTTATCTGCCTGGAGATACCTTCGCTAATTCTCCTTGAGGAGTTGGCAAATCTGCAATTCCTTGCTATGTGTCCTAACCTGCCACAACTGAAACACCTTATCTGCCTCGGGTAGTTATAATTTTCCCTTTTCCCTTCCGTCCACGTATTATGATAATTCCTTGGTTGATCATATTCAAATATTTTTCGCTCTTGACATGGTGATTTGCATGTATCCTCTTTTCTTCTTGCCGCAAAAGCGCAATTAGGATCTTCTTGAGGAATTTGACGCTGTTTCTGTCTTTTTTCTTCTAAAAGTAACTTGGATTTTACCACACTAGTAGACAGCTTCTCTTCTTGCTGTTCTAAACTGAGAATCAGCGGCTCGTAACTCTTTGGTAATCCCAATAGCATAATCAAAGCTAATTCGCCATCCCCAAATCCATGGTGGCACTTTGCTAATTTTCTATGACATTCCATTATTCTCGCGAAATATTCCTTCATGTCTTCGTCATTTCTTTTGACAATATTGAAAAATTCTCTCAGTAACTGTAATATGTGCAGCAAGCCATATTTTGTGTGGATATCCTCCAGTATCTGCCAAGCATCAATCGCTCGTTTACAATCACCGATGTCATATAGGAATGAATCTTCAACTGCTAATAATATGACAGATAATGCCAAGCTATCTTTCCGCTTCTGTTTTTCTGTAGTTTCCCTAGGAAATCCAGGCTCAATCGCATCCCATATATCCTTCTGGATCAAAATAGATTTAGTTCTTATAGCCCAGGAATAATAATTATTACCATCAAGATTAGGTATTCTCAACTCGTCAGCCATTGATTTTCTCTAGTTATGCAAATTTGACAAAAAATTATAACTCAAAGCTTTTCTTCTTCGTTGCACAAAGTTCAGTCTTTAAATCACTCAAATTTCTTATAATCAAATTCTATTCTCTATCTTAGTTAGCCTAACAAACTTTTCTTCTTTGGCTTTCCCTTCAGCTTTAACTTCAGCTGTTTCTTCTTTAGCTTAACATAAACTTCAAATTTTCTTTCTTCAGCTCTAAATTCTTTCTACGGCGCAGTGGAAGCGTTCTGCTGGGCCCATAACCTGTTAGGAAACCAATTTATATACATGTAAAATCGTCCAGTCATCTGGTCAAAATATAAATAAACTAATCTAGGAAAAAACAACTTATAAAATCCTAACATCTTCAATATGCAACAACAAGACCATCTCTGACCTCTCTGTAAAGGACACCTAATTACAGTGTCAAAGTGTCCTTTAGGGAGAGGAGGTTACCAGAGAGTTGCTAATTAGTAAAACAGTAGTTTTGGATATAAAAACTGTCTTTGTAGAGAGGTATCCTCACATGGAGATTCTACAGTGCCATAATCTTTCATCTGAACAATTTCTTTTCCTAAAATGAAACAAACAGTAAGCCAAACAGACAGAACTTTGAAAGAAGGAATGGAAAACCTTATATAAGTTCTAAATTGGGATAAATTTGTTAATTCTGCAATGTAGAACATTGAAAAAAATACTGGGCACGATATTTTCAAAATAAAAGAAACAAAGATACTAGATTATGACAAAAATTACTTTGAGAGACACTTTAAAGATGTCTTTTTCATTTAAAAGAAATGTGCTAACTCCGCCTTTGCCCGTTCTAAGCCCGGATGAAAAAGGAGGAGGGGGAGCAGTAACAAGCTCGCTTAAAAACCTGAGCTCAGCTGGCCCAGCTGATAGTACCCTGTAAGGGCTCCTGATCCAGGGATACAGGAAGAGCAGTCTATACACTCCATGTTAGGAGCGGCTGCACATGGCATCTGTTCCTAATGTCAGAGATGGCCATTTCATATTAGAGCTAAGTTGGGCAGTCACTGAGTAGTGCACCCAGTCTTAATGAAAAAAGCAGATTCATTCTGTTGTTGTTTCTCATCCCCTTGTGTAAAGATTACACAAATTCCTTGAGTTCATGCTCCTCAAGCTGTTTTATGATAAGCAGCGGCCTCTCCCAAAGGTCTTGTTTAGTACATCTAATGCAAGCCAAAATGTGTTCTGGAGCTGCAGGTGCCAAGCTACATTTTGGGCAAGTGGGGTAGAATTTGTTATTATTTTCTATCTACAATGG